TCAGGTCATTGAATGTCAAATTTGTTTATCCTTTTAATGGACAGTCGGTTGGCCACCCCGTGCCCAGGCCTATTTTATCAAGTAGCGAGAAGAAGAGCTTTTGGTTTTGTTTTGGTGTTTTTTTTTTGTTTTTTTTTTACATTTTTTTGTTTACGAAAATGTCTGGCTTATAGCAGAGACCAGTACTTTCTCAAATGGTACGTTTAGTACTCCCCGTAGACACAAGGGAACACTAAGCTTTATGTGGTGTTTCCCCGTGGTTAACTGTCATCTGAAATCCTGCTGCCCGGCCCCTGACCGTCCTCGTTACGCTACTGCATTTTACCAACGGGTTGATCAGGTTTGCTGGTACTTGACGTACGCTCCGTATATCATGTACGCCTTTCCACAGGTCCCATCGCTAGTCGTAAAGAAACGTGATTCCTTTCGTGTTTGATGCTTTTGAATTACGATACTTAGTTGATGCCGTGCTTTCTTAATAAATTGTAATGAAAAACGTGCAGAATCAATAAGGACATTTGCCTTTTCAGACTACTCCATCGGTTTCCAAATTAAAAACAAAGTGGGTGTATATGGGTGTGTGTGTGTGTGGGTGGGGGGGGGGTAACTGGTTTTTTATGTTTTTAGGGTTTGGAGAGGCTCGAATATAATTTGAACATTTCTTCAGCATAATTGAGCAAATTATTTTAATTATAGGCAATTAAGGGGAGGGGTCGTCAATATTTCTAATTATGGGGCGTACAAAAAAAGTCTGGGAATCCCTGGACCACCCAGTCACTGAATGATTCTTCGCCTTGCAGGATCGAAATCAATTGGTTTGGGGGTGGGGGGTGGGAAGAAAAAGTTCTTTTTCTCTTTGTTTGAAAGGGCCACAACGTCTACCCTGTGGTGCGTCACAAAATGACATTATAGCATAGTCGTTTCTAGGGATTCAAATGAACACCCCCGTGGATAGTTGCAAACTGGTTTGGTTTCGAGAAAAGAATGTCATTTCATGACGTCGCCACCAATCGTACGACTCCCGTCTAAACGGCGTACGACCACGCATGTAAGCGTTTGTTGGTGTTAGACGTAAGACTGAAAGGACTTTATTTACAGGACTCGACTTATTTGTTTCTTAGACGTAAGACTGAAATCACTTAATTTACTGGACTCGACTTATTTGTTTCTTAGACGTAAGACTGAAATCACTTAATTTACTGGACTCGACTTATTTGTTTCTTAGACGTAAGACTGAAATCACTTAATTTACTGGACTCGACTTATTTGTTTCTGAGACGTAAGACTGAAAGCACTTTATTTACTGGACTCGACTGATTTGTTTCTTAGACGTAAGACTGAAATCACTTAATTTACTGGACTCGACTTATTTGTTTCTTAGACGTAAGACTGAAATCACTTTATTTACTGGACTGTACTTATTTGTTTCTTAGACGTAAGACTGAAATCACTTAATTTACTGGACTCAACTTATTTGTTTCTTAGACGTAAGACTGAAATCACTTAATTTACTGGACTCAACTTATTTGTTTCTTAGACGTAAGACTGAAATCACTTTATTTACTGGACTGTACTTATTTGTTTTTTAGACGTTAGACTGAAAGCACTTTATTTACTGGACTGTACTTATTTGTTTCTTAGACGTAAGACTGAAATCACTTAATTTACTGGACTCAACTTGTTTCTTAGACGTAAGACTGAAAGCACTTTATTTACTGGACTGTACTTATTTGTTTCTTAGACGTAAGACTGAAATCACTTAATTTACTGGACTCAACTTGTTTCTTAGACGTAAGACTGAAATCACTTTATTTACTGGACTGTACTTATTTGTTTCTTAGACGTAAGACTGAAATCACTTAATTTACTGGTCTCAACTTATTTGTTTCTTAGACGTAAGACTGAAATCACTTTATTTACTGGACTGTACTTATTTGTTTTTTAGACGTAAGACTGAAAACACTTTATTTACTGGACTCTATTTAATTTTTTGTTTGTTACTTTTTGTTTTTCGTTTTTCAGGCGTTAGTTTCCACTGAGCACGAAAACAGCTCAAACTAAGTCTTGTGTGGCTTGTTGGTCTGTGTTTGTTTTTTGACACGAGACTTTGTATGCCCATTAGCAACAATCTAGCAACCTGGCTCTTGTAGCAAAGAGACGTTCACAAACACGAACAAATTATACATCTTTCTTTCGTTATCACCCGTGCGACAACGGCTATTTTAAGAAGGAATGTTCTATGAAATGTTTCTTGTCTTTTTTACTTTACCGACTTCATGTCCATTTGTCGATTTCATCAAATGATAAAAGCGCCCCGACCCATGGCGTGGTCTAAAATTCTAGCTGTTTAAGAGTTGAGTATTATTTTGGGAGGTCAAGAACCGGCCCGCGTCCTGTAGACCCCCTGCCCACCCCAATTCCTTTAAAGCTTCCAAAGGGTCCTTGATTGGTCCATTTCAAACCTTCATATCTCACAAGCTATACTTATATTCTTCTCATTCCCAAATGAAAAACAAAGTAAGTCATAAATTTGTGTTCTTAAACAAAAATCCTTGGACATAAACTGTCCATATGAATCGGAGTTGTTGTTGTTTTTGTCTTCAGGCATACAATACAAGCATAACATCCCCCGCGAATGCTGAATTCATACTTGGATGATATGACCAGTTCTTTGACTTGTTAATGTTCCTATAGTTATTCAGCATTAGCCCAAGTTTTTTTACAGCAGCCGCTCTTTTTGTGTTCCACTTTTTTGTTCAGATAAAGAATGCTCCTCAGCCCTCTATTAGAAAATCGCCCCATCCAGACAAGCCCAGACACAGAATTAAAATAAAACATACAAAATTGACCCATTCAAGTAACAACTGACCGAGAATTTTAATGGGCGCATTAGAGAAATCTTTGGCTGAAACACGCCTTAAAGACTTGGGAAATTTGATAATGCATTTCGCTGAAATTGTGTTTAAATGACGGTGGCGTCTTCGAAAATATGATGTATGTACTGTTAAATGTCTCTGCCAGTCCTAACTAATCCTCAGACCAGAATGGATTTTCCTTGTAGTTTGTACTGTACGTCTTTCGATGGATTAAGACTTCGGACCCGTTGGTTTTGATGAGGGTATGCATCGCTGCCTGACGGTCGTCGGTAACAGGAGATTTTCAGGTTGAGATGATCTCGTGATCTTTCTGCCAGCATAATTATCTAGTGATCTTCCAAATAGGCCGATTTTGAAAATCTCTCCATTGTAAATTTTTGTCCCCCCCCCCCTCTCTCTCTCTCTCTCTCTCTCTCTCTCTTTTCTTATACCCTCCTCCCTTCTTAATTGAAGACCACCTTCCCCACCTCCCTAGTTCCACCCCCCTCTCTCTCTTTCTCCATCTCCCTCCTCTCTCACCATCTCTGTCTCTCTCTCCATATCTCTCTCTCTCCATCTATCTCCACCTCTCTCTCAAACACTATTCACATAATAAACAAGGAGGCTACGTTTGATCGTTGTTTTAATTCCCAGTCTTCCAAACAAAACCAAAAAACAAGAAAAGTTCACTCTCTTTTTGGATTTGATCAAAATTGCTAAAATGTCATAACGTCCAAGATATTCGATACAAAAATAAATTAACTTGCAGTGTTTATTCAGCGAAGCCTTCAGCTTTTGTACGAAGTCCGGACATTGTATTCTTCTGGCGGAGACAGATCAGGATTATGAAATACACCGTTCCATGGACCTAAGTAAGAGATGTTAAGTGATGGCCGTGTTTGTTGGGCGGGAGAGTGTGTTGATGAAACCACTGCTAAGCAATAAAGTAAGGATGGAATTAAATGTGAGGCTAACAAATACTCGTGGAATATAACTGTCGACGGGGTCCATTGAAGTTTTGTGTCGCTTTAGTCACACCGATGCAGGTGACGACTGGGAGGAATACCATCTTGTGAAGGGAGCTTCCAATGTCGTTCTCGTTTAATTTTAGCAGGGTGTTTTGGAATAAAACACTCACTAGGATCTCGGCCAGAGCCCTGTGTTGAAACTCTCATGTAGGATAAGTTTGATAAAATAGAAAATTACGTTGAAAAAGTACAATTGATAAATAAGTAAGACTTTACGGACTGTAAGACGTGTCCATGAATTCACTCTTCTGGTGATATCTCAGGTTTTTTCTTTGATTCCCGTCCCTTTAATCTTTTATCTTTAAAGTTGAGGTCTCGTGGGATTTTGGCTTGTCCGAATGTTGCTTCAGAACTGCCATGCCGCTCACACGCAATCTGAAATACATTGCTCAAAGAAATGAGTAAAGATTGTGCAATAATTGAATAACAAAGCTATATAATGTGGCGAAGATAACTTTTGAATCTTTACGGCCCAGGCTAACATATGGGCAACACGCTTCATGTGCCCGGCTGTGCCATAGGACTTTTCCAGTAGGACCCGCCTGCCGTCAAGGTCAGGCTTGCTGTGGTCTTGACAGTTTAAGTAGGATGATCGTACTGGGCAGTGGACTGTTGGCGTTTGACTCACTCATATGTATTCATTGATTGGTGTTGGTGCATCTTATCTAAGTGTAGTTAGCTGGGTTTTTTTTTTCTTTTGATTTGTTTCTTCAAAACTCCTCTGGGTCTGCTCCTTTATAAGCTATAAACATTTGTCATGTTTTTTTTGTTTTTTTTTTTGGTTTTTGTTCAAAATTAGTTTAAAGCTTTGTTTAAACCCAATGGTTGGATTTAAAATGGGAGATTAGCTAAATAATGTTGTTTTTTTTTCAATTATAAAGATCTAACGGTTATCTATCTAATGGCGGGTCTAGGATTTGTCGAAGGTGATGCAAATGCTGTGTCCACGTTGTATACGGAAACACGCCCCCCCCCCCCCCCTTTTTTAAATTTTTTTTTTTTTTGTAGGGGTGTGTTTTTTTTTTTTTTTCTCCCCCCCCCCCCCCCCCCCCCCAAAGCATCTGTTCATATTAAAATATAAGAATGTAATAAAAAATATATTTTTGTTTCCCCCTTTAGGTTTTGTATACTAACAGTGAAAGGAGCGGTCAGCTAGTTGTTGATTTGATAACTACACCAAAAGAGATTGAATGTGAAGGCAAAATAATGTCACCAGAAGCACAAAGTAAACATACTAGAAATTTGATTGGATTTGAAGGCAAAATATTGTCACCCAAAGTACAAACATTGTAGAAATTTGATTTGATTTGGAAAGGAATAAAACTTAAACCAAACATTTTTTAACAAAATTATCCGACCATCTTCAGATAACTTTTATTTGTTTGAGAATAAAATGGAATCAGTAATATCTAATTGATGTGACTATTTAAAATTACAGGTGAAACTGATAAAATGAAGGTCAAGGTCATAGCTTTTGATGGAGTAGTTATTGTTATCTGCTGTTTGTCCTCCATTTTGTGCTCAAGATCCTTGAAGCGAGCCAACAACCTTCGGAATGTGAGCGGATTCTCTCTAGTTAAACAATTTTATTATTTATTGTTAAACATTAGGCATAACCTATATAGAAATGTGACTCGGTCACAATTCCAAACGGGGGAAATTCACAAATAAATTGTGAATGTCTTACCAAATAAATGGGGTTAAATCATTGATGACACATTTATTGATGTTAAAAATAAATAAAGTCCAACCTGTAAAAAGTAATTAATAACTGAAATATGTCACGTCCACATTAACACTAAATTTATTTTTTAAATTATTATTTTCCAACACAGGACACTGCCAAGTTTTTCAAACTCCATAAAGGGAAGCCATTCCGACCATCCAACCACATGGAGTACATCAACATGTGGTACATCCTCATCATTTGTAATGACGTTCTGACAGTCATTGGGTCAGCCTTCAAGATACAGCTAGAAACTAGGGTAAATTTATCACCTATCACAACTTATCTCCATGTGTCCAATCAACAGATTTCAGTTAAAAATAATTTATAGTCGAAATAAGGTGTATTTTAATTTAGTTTTATATTGTTAGATATTGTTAAGATTTAAAAAAAAAAAAGCAGAAGTTAACAAATATCTTTCACTGTAATATCATTAGGAAATTTTTTTCCACTGTTATTTTTACCTATTTTACAACTGGAGCTGAATAGGGGGAAATTTAAAATAATATTTAATTATAACACATTTCTGTCATTAGTAATTTGTTCATATCACATATTTCTGTCATTGGAAACTTGTTCATTATCGCATCATCAACCTACTAGCCATAAGGAGTAGTTAGAGAAATTAGAGTTTGAGGATGAATCATCCCCTGACATTCTGTCTTGTTTGGTTCTCTGTGCGTGTTGAAATTCAGTTGGTTTTTTTCTGTCTTCGTCCAGGTATTCTCAGTGACCTCAGAGAACTACGAGATCTGCAGTATTCTACTTGGGGGAGGTGTCTTCTTGACATTTGTTGGTATCCTGAGATACCTCGGCTTCTTCAAGTCATACAATGTAAATCTTCTATCATAAGTTTCTATCTCAATCTTGCGGTGCAGGTCATGTGATGTATGAAATAACAGATTATTTAATCATTTTTATTTCATTGTAAGCACTGAGCTACTATTAAAAATCATGTACAAAATATTATGAATTGAAATATTTGCTATAAAAACACAATCCATTTAATAAGCTCAAGAAGATATAAATAACACGTTTATCTTTAGTTATTGGTATTAAAAGTTTTAAGCTCATTACGTCAATGGTCTCCTGGCCCAAACTTCTAAGGGGGTGTGCTCCCTCCCCAGGCTAGAAAACATGATATCCCTTTATTTGGGATTGTGGGCTGCTCCTATCCCAATGGGACAAAACAGCTGCCTTGGTACACCCCCAACCCACCTTTTTTTGTTGTTGCCCTTGTAAGTAGATGTATTTCAAGGATAATTAATAACAAGAACAATGAGCACAATAAGTTTGATGCTGTAACTCAATTTTGATGGCAGGTGCTGATATTAACCCTGAAAACATCTTTCCCTCACGTGTTGAGATTCCTGGTCTGTGCCATCTGTCTCTACACGGGATTCCTCTTCTGTGGCTGGGTCGTCTTTTCTCCATACCACATAAAGGTAACATACAGCATAGAGATAACATGCATCACAAAGTTAACATACCACATAAAGGTAACATACAGCATAGAGATACCATGCCTCACAAAGGTATCATACCACAAAAAGGTAACTGTTACGTACTGTTATCAGTATGGAGAAATTAATCTCTTATTTAAGTAAATGGCTCGTTATAAAACAATACACAACAAAAGACGATATCATATTTTAAATACAATAAAGAATATAATACTCAAACCAGGGCTAATTACAATAAATTTTATTAAGTTAATTATAAATCACAAAATCAAAAAGAAATAAAATTAAAGCCTTACAGTATAACGATTGGCTTGCACCGGTACAATGTTGAAGAAGATAAGGTTGGATAATATTGACTTATCTTTGCAGGAATCTGCATTACTAATACTACAGCTAGCATAACTAACTAATTAGTTATCTATAATTATATCTAACATTGCTATCAACTTCATCATCTGAATCCATTTTTTTAAGGAATTAATTTTGATTGGCACAAATTTTTTTTTTTAAATTTGACAATAATCAGGCTTTAAATAAGTTGTTTTAATTTAAAAGTTGTGATTTGTCCAATTGGAAAGGATGCAAAAATGTCAGAATGCTTGCGCAACTAATGTTACATAGGGAGGATAAAAAGTTAGTGTTAAGTAGCTGATGTTTTATTTATTTCTTTCTGGTTTTTGGTGGGAAATGGACTCCAACCAGCCCATTTTAATATGAAAATTTATTGAATATCTCAAAACTTTGATTTTCAAATAAATATTTAGGTCCTCATCAGTAGTAATAGTATTATTTGCTGAGGCGCATACTTGAGAAAAAAAAAGGGATATATAGTCCTGGGGCCAATGTCGGAGGCAAATTCCGGTTGCTCCCTATAACATACCACATGAAATTTCCCACGAATTCTCATAATGGCCTTTCATTGGCCTACATGTCTGTTTTCGGACGTTAGGGATGCTTCGGTGGTGTTCAGCCGATATAATAAGTCTTTACTAAAATTAATACTTTAAATCCAAATAAGAAAATGTACGTTTTTTTGTTTTAAAAAAGAGAGATAACTCCAACAAATTCATTTGCTTCATATTTATTGAAAACAAATGTAAAATATTCCATGTTCATATTTGTTTTTAAATTTTGAATCAATCTGAAATTTTTTTGAGTTTTTTTGTTGTTGTTAAAACTAACTTGTAGGACTCAAATGTGGCCCTGCAGTAGCAGTTCAAGTTCTAATTGTTGAAGTAGTGTAAAATAGGATACTAATGAATTTAATTTAAATTATATGAAGAAATATGAAGGTCACCGATGAATTTAAAAAAAAAAAATTTTTTTTAGTTCTATGAAACCAAATTACTTTCTATTTTTGAAACTAAAAGAATAATATATATGTCAGAAAAACTTATTTAAATGGATAAAAAGTATCTCACAGACAGTGTGGATGTGAGTTGAAGAAAGATAAACAGTAGCACAGTTGTTCTCACTGTAGAAAGGTCAAGGTTACATTCATTTTTCATAGCCTCACAGAATTCCAACATTGATAACATGATTCCTTATCCAATTTACTCTCAGAATATCTCCACTTACATGGGTCTCTGGATTCATTTCTATTAGTTTTGGGATTTTAGTGATACATATCAAAGTTAGTAAAAAAAATAGTTGACACCACGACATATTTACATTCACCAGTTTGTGGGTTAACAAACCAGATAAAGGCAACATTTGTTATATTAATTCTGTTATATGTTTTGTTATATCTATACAACTGTAATATTTATCTTTCTTGCCATCTATTCCGAACCAGTTCCGAAAGTTAAGCACTACCTCTGAATGCCTGTTTGCACTTGTTAATGGTGATGACATGTACGTGACGTTCTCTGCCCTGAACAACAGCAGCGACGCCATCTGGTACTTTCATAGAGTTTACCTGTACGTCTTCATCGCACTTTTCATCTATGTGGTCATCAGTGTCTTTATCGCTGTTATCATGGAGAATTATGAAAATTTACAGGTGAATATTTGGTCTACTTTTACATGATACTTTTATGGTTTCAGGTCATGAGGACACACCATCCCACCCCATCGCCCCTCCCATGAAGTTCTCTAAACAGATATTCCTGGTTATTTTTCAAATAGATAAAATTCAACTGCGACATTTGGCCACAGAATTCCTTGGTTGTATTAACTGAATGACCTCCCCTTGTCATGTGACTAAATCCACCATTACTTTTTTAAAAATTTATTTAGCTTCCAAGAAAATCCTGGCTTGTAATAAGGCTTTGAACTTATAACTGAAAAGCCAGTCATTTTAGAAAAAGTTATTGCTAAATTTCTTAAAGTAGTTACCTGCCTTTTGCTAAAAACCAAACATACAACACATGTTAGATATTATGATCTTTCTTTCCTATAAGATTGTTAAAAATCAGGCATTTAAAGACGTCTACTTCCTAACACATTAACCCTTTGAACCTGCGATCCCACATTATGGGTCTGTGCATTAAGAATCCACACCCCACCAGAAGGATATTTCAGTCTCCCATAACTTACCCCGGATCGACAGTCCTTGTATAAAAATGTGTTGCAAATACTGAGTTCAAGGTTACCTCGTGACTTGTGAAAGGTCACAGTAATGGCCATGCTCATGGATGTACATTGTGTTTGTTATGCTTTAGTCATATTTTTGGATGTATAGAGGTGACGAAATTGCAAAGATTGCTATTCTAAAGGATTCCAACCAGAGCAGGTTTATGAAAATGTCAATGATTTACAGGATTATCGTGTTTTAAAAGATTGAAATATAGCAATGATAGTGATGATCAATAGACTTCAACTACCAGTGCTACTGATGTGTGCTTTGGAATAAAAGAAACAACACAAGGTCTACCCCTAGTCCAAACCTTGGCTTTTATGAAAAATCAGAATCATAAAAATTACCTTTCACCATGTTATTTTACACCATTTCTAAGACTATTTTACACCATTTCTAAGACAATTTTCTCCCTGTCATACATTTTTTAATACTTATGAACTACTGACAGAAACAATTTAGATTGTTAGATTGAAATAAATACAATTTATTTACAATTTTTAAAATTTTATAATTATTCTTTTTCCTTGTATGTTAGTGTGTGGAAATTTTCCCCCAAGAGCCCAAAGGCATGGGTATTTCAATCTTTATTACCTTTAGCATTACTATGCATCTTTCATTTCAATCTTTTTTTTCCTATAGCACTACTATGCATCCGGCTTCCCAGACACAGAAATTCAGGCATTCATTAAGGAAGACGGAGAGATGAGCTTGACAGAATTGTTCAGACATGTGCAGAGAGGAGGGACATGGCAGAGTTGGTTCTTCTGTATCTTTCCCTGCTTGTCCTACTTCAGAAGGTAACTTGACACCTTAACACACACATTTAAGTTTAAACTTGTGCATTACATTTGCTTGAAATAGTTTCTTGAACATTTATCGACATAAGTTATAAAAGAAAATCCGTTGAAAGTTAACATGAGTTGAAAGTTAACATGCTAAAACTGTTTCCATAATTTACAGAAGTCAATTTTTTAAAATATATTATCATTATTTTTTTTAAAAATTTGTTTTTCTTGAAATAATGTCGCAACACAACTCATATAGATGTTAGGGACTGCTTTTCATCTGCTTGTTTCTCTTGGCTTTACGGGGTGTTTACTCTTTTCTGGTGCACTGGTTTGTATTATGTCTGTTGCACTGGCTTGTAGTAAATCTGGTGCACTGGCTTGTATTATGTCTGGTGCACTGGCTTGTAGTAAATCTTGTTATCAATGAATTTATTCCAAAAACTAACAAAAGGTTTTCATAACATTAGGGCAAAATCTGAGCTCATGAGATCATTGTGTCATGATCTTACAATTTTGGGTTTGGCGAGATATGTTTTTATTTTCATATATAATTTATCTTTTAGCTTGCCTTTTTCAACAGGCACAATATTAAACTATAACACTGTAAAATCAATGGTAAAAGGAATGGCAATATGAAATCAAGACTTTTGAGTTGTGCTTATGGTATAACAACAGGCACAATATTAAACTATAACACTGTAACATCAATGGTAAAATGAATGGCAATATGAAATCAAGACTTTTTTATTGGTATAACACAAGGATTCTCAGTTGGGAGAATTGTTGTTCTTTTCAAATAATTGTGTTACTTTGTTGAGAATTTGATTGTTAGTTCAGAGAGAAAGTAAAGAGAAGTGGATAGTTAATACAAATAGAAAGTTAAGAGAAGTGGATAATTAGTACAGAGAGAAGGAAAAGATAGGTGGATGGTTAATACTGAGAGAAGTAAAAGGGATGTTGACCATCAAGATAGACATATTTGAATCAATTCTTGGTTAGACTACACGCAACCTTCCACAGCTAAAAAGCAATTATGTCTGGAATGTTTGGAGAGACACAGCTGTGAGAAAACACTTGTCACTTTGAAGCTGTCTTAATGTTTCAAAACTTTATCTTTCATGATTACTTCCCTTTGTGTGACATCAAAGAGAAAAAAGTACGATTCAAGGGAAATAATGTACAGCTGTTTGTTACTGACTTGGAACACATCTTCCGTGTGATGCTTCCAGCGTGTGTCTTTAAGTTTGTGTCTTTATACTTTCATGCTTATGTTTGCTCTAACAACATTGCTGATTATTTCACTAACTAACGCTTGCTTTGTTTCAGTAAAAAAGTTCCATACAAAGAACTTGACTATGAATATGAAGTTTAAGGGTAATTATTGATAGAGTGGAATTTTTCTCCCCCCAAATTATGCTCCATGTTGTGTGCTGCTTTTATCATTTGTTTTAACCAATTTAACATTTTCCACTTGTTTTAGAGATTTGATGATCTAATTATCAAACGTCTGCATTTGTAAAGAGAGAAATATTATTTTCCGAAGCTTGTTTTAGCTTTTTGATGGGTTGTTATAAAATGTAGAATTAGCTTTTGTGTTGTTGTATGAATTATTGGACTTGAGAATTCAATGTTAGAGCAAAGGATTAGCTGGTTAACTACCATGAGCCGGTGGGAGCGGCTGGGCGTTTCTTTCGTTAGGGCCACAAGCCGCTGGTAGCGCCAAGATTTGTATTGTAATAAATCGAGTCAAATATCTACTATTCCGTTCCCGTTTTGCTTTGAGATTTTAATTTACCGACATGATTTTTATATTCGAACCACATGCTATAGGCAGAATTTTAAAAAAAAACAGCTGTTAATTAATTTTGATTTAATTTCCAAGCTAGTTACAAAATTTTACTACTTGTTTACTGAGCAACAAGTGACAATGTTACTAAAGGCATAAAAGTGATTGAAAGTCTAAATATTATTAAATTTCTTTGTTCTTTGCTGCATTTTTTTTATTATTGGATATAGTATTTGAAAACCACGAAATAAAAGGCTTGAAATGATTTGGACGTTCAAAATGTATTCATAAGTTGGCACATTTACATAGTTTTTAATTGTTTTTCTATTGTAAATACTAATTTAACAATTATTAATTTTCCCAACAAAACTTAACTTTACAAATGTTTTAAGTTTATCTTATAGACAATGCAATTACCTACAAAATGGTTTATTGATCATTAGAATATGTTTATAATTGAGAAAACTGCAGTTGAATTTGTACATACACATAAAATGAGAAAATTTGGCCTAGATTTAATTTGGCCACAGTGGGTTTTTCAACTGGTAGCTAATCAGTTAATTTGTACAGCAAAGGTTTAATGTGGAGCAAATTCTTGTCTTAGTTAAGCTGGGTTAATAGGTTTTTATTTAGCCAATCATTTTATCCTGTGTCCAGCTATTGGCTTAACATCATATTATGCAACAATTTTTGTCATACAGTGTAAGAATTCTTGTCTAACAATGTAAGAATTCTTGTCGAACAATGTAAGAATTCTTGTCGAACAATGTTAGAATTCTAGTCTAACAATGTAAGAATTCTTGTCGAACAATGTAAGAATTCTTTTCGAGCAATGTTAGAATTCTTGTCGAACAATGTTAGAATTCTTGTCGAACAATGTTAGAATTCTTGTCGAACAGTGTTAGAATTCTTGTTGGACAATGTGAGGAATCATGTCATGCAATAGAATGTCTACGTACTAACACAGGTCATACTGTACCCACTACTGACAGTTAAACATGCTTCTCTACTTACTAACACATCTGGTACTAACAACATGGTGTCTAGAGGAGTCAATCATTTAGACTTCAATTATGTCATTTGAATTTATAAGCAAAAAGTATGTGATTATTAAATACTTTTATTTAAAGTTACAATACTGAAAGTTTTATTGAACCAACATTAAGCAATGTTCAATTAGGCCTTGTATTAATGCAGTAAGTTCAATTTAAGTAATTGGCAAATCTTTTTGCACCACTGCGGAGAACCCCAAAGAAATATTCAGTAGTTTTATTGACAGAAGTGGGTAACCTTAAGACTATCAAACCTGTTGACTCTTACGATTTTGGGAGTTATATGCATTATATATACTTGATGTTTATTTTTTTACTATTAAGATAAGGTATTGAAAGATTTTGTCATGACATTGTACGATTTTAAGAGTTTGAGGGTAAACAGTTCTGGACTGTAAATATTTTCCTGATAAAAGGAATAAACAACAACACTATTATAAAGAAATGCAACAAAACAAAAACTAACAAATATTCAAGCATTCAGCAAAACATGTCTAATAACTCACCTGTAAGACCTGATATATACCGTATTTACTGGCGTATAAGATGACTGGGCGTATAAGAGGACCCCCCTACTTTCCTGTTAAAATCTAGGGTTTGGGCTGTATTACCAGCTCATAAGACGACCCCCTACTTTTGAGAAGATTTTAATGGGTTAAAAAGTTGTCTTATACACCTGAAACTACTACGGTATATGAACTCATCTGTCAAAGTGCTTCATTCGTCACGCATCATCTTAAAATTGTTCTAAAATAATATCAGCATTTCACACTTTCCATTTTTTAAACACGTTCACTAGCATAGTTAATTCCTGTGGTTAATCCAGTGGTCAATCCTGTGGTCAATCCCGTAATGTCCAATGTTTTGAGGCCATTTTCCAGAACTAGGTGTGTTGAGGTTGACTTTTATCAGACTTTTAAAATATTTTGTATGAATGTTATTTTCTCCACCATGTTTTAAAGCTAATCATCTTAATCATGTTAATCATCTTAATCATGTTAATCATCTTTGTTTTTCATGTTTATACCCCTCCCTTTTTCCCCCTTTTTGCAGTGATCTGTCCAGCGACAAAGAAACCCTAGGAGTTAGTATCATTTTACAAACATTTGATTTTATAGTATCATTTTACAAACATTTGATTTTATAGTATCATTTTACAAACATTTGATTTTATAGAATTATTTACAAACATTTGATTTTATAGAATCATTTACAAACATTTGATTTTATAGTATCATTTACAAACATTTGATTTTATAGTATCATTTTACAAACATTTAATTTTATAGTATCATTTACAAACATTTAATTTTATAGTATTATTTACAAACATTTAATTTTATAGTATTATTTACAAACATTTAATTTTATAGTATCATTTTACAAACATTTGATTTTATAGTATCATTTTACAAACATTTGATTTTATAGTATTATTTACAAACATTTGATTTTATAGTATCATTTTACAAACATTTGATTTTATAGTATCATTTAAAAACATTTGATTTTATAGTATCATTTACAAACATTTGATTTTATAGTATAATTTTACAAACATTTAATTTTATAGTATCATTTTACAAACATTTAATTTTATAGTATCATTTTACAAACATTTGATTTTATAGTATCATTTTACAAACATTTAATTTTATAGTATCATTTTACAAACATTTAATTTTATAGTATCATTTTACAAACATTTAACTTTACTGTATTATTTTACAAACTTTTGATTTATTGCTGCTAGTGATGTAAACATCGACATTATTATAAAAGTATCTCAGCAAAGACAGAATGTTATTGTAATGTTAGATGTCTGAGGGCTTGGCTTATATAACTTGAGAACTTTATTCTCATTTAGAGTGCACAATTTTCTTTATAAAAAATTTTCTTTCCTGGTCTCTTGCCATTGCTTTTTTGCCAGATTTCCACAATTTTTTAAAATTGTTTTTGTTGCCGCAAGTTTCCCATCTCTGTTTCAGATTAGTATTTTTGATTTCACAGAACATTTTCTGCATTTAATGTGCATGTTTTGCTCTATCAAAACACAAACGTTGTGTTTAGAGAGTCGCAATGGTTTTAGTTATTACATAGTACCCTCCCCCTGAGTAGTCTCTATTGTAAATGATTAATCTTTAAAAAACATTTTCATTATTGAAGGTCTGTTAT